CTCCTCTTCCTCTTCCTTCTCCTCCTCTTCTTCCTTCTCCTCCTCCTTCTTCCTCCTCCTCCTCTTCCTCCTCTTCCTTCTCCTTCTCCTCCTCTTCCTCTTCCTTCTCCTCCTCTTCTTCTTCCTTCTCCTCCTCCTCCTTCCTCCTCCTCCTCTTCCTCCTCTTCCTTCTCCTCCTCCTTCTTCCTTCCTCCTCCTTCGAGCACTGATGATATACCCTAGTTGGGTCTTGAAACCTGTGCTTGAAAATCACCCAGCTCGGAGAGCACCACAGTTCAACCCTTGAGCTGCGAATCTTCTCTTCTATTGGCTCTTCTTTTCTTCTCTCCTTCCTTTCTCCCCCTCCTCCCCAGGAACAAGACAATCTGAACGACGCGGAGGAACGTTGCGACCAGCTGATCAAGAACAAGATCCAACTGGAGGCCAAGGTGAAAGAGATGACCGAAAGGATAGAAGATGAAGAGGAGATGAACGCCGAACTGACTGCCAAGAAGCGGAAGCTGGAAGATGAATGTTCGGAACTCAAGAAAGATATTGATGACCTGGAGTTGACTTTGGCCAAGGTGGAGAAGGAGAAGCATGCCACGGAGAACAAGGTACATTGAAAGTAGTCCTCGACTTATTACCACAGTTGTGTTGTGGCCCGCCGGTGGCTAGCGGAGCTGGCAGCAGAGCCAGACAGTAGTGAGGAGGTTGTGGGTGGGGGGAGAACCTGGGCCAGTCCTGGAGGCTGAGGAAGGCTTGGTGGGCGTGGCAAGGGAAGGTTATTGCAAAATCCCCATTCTCTCTCCACCCCACTAACCTGCTTTCCAGTTCCGTTCTCCTGTGCAGGGCAACCAAAGAAGACCCAGCCAACCAGCTGGGATTGGGGAGGTGGAGAATAGATGGGGGCGGGGTCAGTCGGAGGTGGGATTTGCTGGCTCTCCAATCTCAAAATTTTACGCTACCGGCTCTCCAGAACCGGTCAGAACCTGCTGAATATACCACCTCCGGTACAGTACCTTCAGACTGGTTCTCTTTTCAGGTGAAAAACCTGACCGAAGAAATGGCCGGTCTGGATGAGATCATCGCCAAACTGACCAAGGAGAAGAAATCCCTCCAGGAGGCCCACCAACAAGCGTTGGATGACTTCCAGGTTGAAGAAGACAAGGTCAACAGCCTGAGCAAAGCCAAGATGAAGCTGGAACAACAAGTGGACGATGTGAGTGGAGGGAGGCAGGAGGTGTCTGTCCAGTCATCCGGGGGTTCTTGGTCCACCTGGATGGAGGTTTTCTAACCAACGGGGGCAGCTTTGTGGGAAGATTAGGACCCTTGCAATCCTTGGCTGGGGTGGGATGTCCATCCGTCCTTAATTGCCCTCGGCAACATCTAGAGAACATCTTCTAGAGGTTTGGGATAGGCCTGGCTTCTTCGTTTTATGCGCCAGTGAGTTAGAGAAGGGAAGTAAAAGCTACGGGATGTTTCGATATTGGCTCGTGCTGGTTGGTGATGGATTGCTAGGGATATTAAATCTGGAGTATCCAGAGATAGTCAGAGGGTGAAGGTGGCATGGTTTGTGGCGTGGCCCATCGTCCATGATTATACTTAAAGGGCAATTTGGTGGCATTCAGTTTTGTATTCAAAATCTTCTTCTTCTTTTCACCTCTTCTCTTCTTTTCTCTTCTTTTTTTCCTTCCTTCCTCTCTTTCCCTTCTCTACTTCTTTTCTTCCTTCCTTCTCTTTCTTTTCCTTCCTTCCTTCTTCTCTTTCCCTTCTTTATTTCTTTC